TCTTTCTCCTTGAAAATAGTGTAACTATGTGGTTTAGGGAAGCTTATAGACATCTTTCTTCTTTCTTCCCTCTCACCCTCTTTGGCTTTTAGAATTGGTTGATGAAAATTTCTTCTCAAACCCCATCAACCTGAAAAGGATCTTTACAATAGAAGGCTGCCCTTACCAAGGGAAGTAATTATCAAGTAGTAACTGCCTGCTCTGGATATATCATCAGCCACACCCAGTTTCCAGCCAGGCACAAGCAGAGGGGGTCCCAGATACTCAGATGGGCTTCAGTAATTCCCTTGCTCTGTCTTCTTACAGTTTTTATCCCACTCTTCAGTCTCTCCAGCTTGGGTTCTTTCTTTCTCGCTGGAGGGAAAAATGTACTTTATTCGTTCCCATTGTAAGATAGAGAAGATGCAAACAGTGAAGGAGAGAGACTGTATGAGTGCATGTGTATGTGGTGAGTGCAATCTTTTATAAGCTGAAAGGTGCTGATACGTAACTTTTGTAATTTTGCTTATAGAAAATATAATCTTTACATATTCTCAAATTATATAGGAAAAACCCAGTGATACTTGTGATTTAAATGTTTAAGGTTTAAGTTTTTAGGAAAGTTGACTGGAAGTACAATAAAATATGGGAAAATTGTATAAAGAGACATCCTTTTGCACACTTGAGTGCTCACTTTTTCCCCCTCTGGAGTTGCTTTGTTATTGCAAATTGACAACTTTGCAATTAAAGTGATTAATGATGTACCCTAGTGTTTATGGGTCCTGAGGTCACTGAGCCCAAAGATGGCCATGCTGTGGGAAACTTAGATAAAACTCATCTCACAGAAGATGAACAAAAAATCCTCCTCTTTTCTGTATAATTGTTTATGAGTTAAGTATATTAGATATGGTTGAAGGACTCACGAAGACATAATGAGTAAAGTGAATAACCTTTATCAGTCTAGTTCTGTTGCTTAATTCCTCATTCTTAAGCACTAATGTGAACATTTTTTGGCTACTTTATTAACTAAAAACATGTTACTTTATAAAGCAGTATTAAAAATACATTACTTAATGAAAAATATAACTTAACTATAACACCATTCATTGAGCTTTCATAAAATGCATTTTTGCTTGGTTCCTTTGAATCTTGTCCTTGATAGAGCTATTGCTTATTTATGGCATTATTTTTCTTGTACACCATTCTAACCAGGGCATCATAATTCTTGTTTCTTACATAATCGGTTATAACTTAGAATTCCTTTCAACTGTTCAGCCAGAAGTTCTGAAACTGGTTGTAATGCATCAGGGATTTTTATTTTGGATACTGTTCTTAGAAAAATCAATCAACTTTCAAAATAGATTGTTCTAGTCACACTGATGGCTTTGTTCTTTGAATTCCATGAGCTGAGGATAGTACTGGGCCAAAGCAGTAGGCTCTCACCATTATGGCTTACTCCTGTGCAGTGGCTTCATACTAAGGGAAGAGAGAACAATAGGCAAATTGTTTAGTCCATGGCACTAAGCCATTGCCAGGATCTGTGTTGGTTTGAAATACACACTACACAAAAGTGACTTGTGATGATCACTGTGGTTGAAAGGGAGATACATTATCCCATTGCATATTTCCCAGGATTTGAAGAGAAAAATGTAGGAATAATTTTTAACAATTATACCTTAGTTTTTAAACTTTATTTATTTAAAAGTCTTTACTAAATGTGGACCCTGAGAAAGAAGACACCTACTAAGAAGGGCTGCTGGTGACTAACTGGGCTCAAATTGTAAAAAAACAGAGCCTAGCAACCATTTCTATGCAGGGACCTCTCACACAAATTGCACTTCAGGGAGAAGCCTTCACTGAACTGCCTGCCTGCACTGTGTTTCTGCCATCTGAGCAGGTCCTTATAAAGGAATTCCCAGAATCCTATTTCAATGAATAGGACTGAGGCTTTTCCCATCCAACTGGAGCTGCACAGCTTTGTCCCTGTCAACATCTTCGTTGGCCAATGAGAGTGGTTCCATTCTGACCAATCAGAACAGCGCCTTTTGGACCAATCAGACTGCAAGGATTTGGAGTCCTTATTTGCATGAGGACAGACCAAGTGGGAATATATTTTCCATATTTCAGATTATTGTCTTATGATAGAGATCTCCAGAGGGTAATTATTATATCAAAAGGTATGAGCTTCTTTGAAGGCTTTTTGTAAATAAATGCCAAATTATTTTCCAAAAGAACCATAATGATACATAGTTCTTCCAGCAACGTATATATAGTGTATTCTCACAAACGTTGTGTGTTAATATTAAAACTAATCTTTACATATTTAAAAGTAAAAGGTGATGATCTTTTATTTTGTTTTTCTGTGATAATTAGTAAAGTTTGATGAAAAAAACTAGTGTTATTAGTATTTATTAATTTTGCAGATTTAATTTTTCCTGTATTCTAAATGTCTTGAACCACAGTATTTTGTGTCATAAGCATATATAATTACATTTATAAGATTTTTGTAGCCTATGATCTTTTAAAATGTAATTAATGTGTGTTATATATTTTATGTACTTATGCTCTGTGTTAAAATTTTCCCCCCAAATATTTTTAATGTGGACAGGTTGACTTATTCTGTTTACTTCAAAAAGCAAAATAACACAAAAATGAAGGCCATTTTAAACAGAAGTGTTGAAAAATTACATAGCTTAAATTGTGAACTCCTGAAACATTCAAACTGAGGTCAGATGAGTATGTGATTGGCATGTGATAAAGTAACGCTAAAGAACGTTCCAAGATTCAGTGATTCTCTGACTAATTTGGTGGTTATTTAAATATTTAAACCAACAGAACTAATTTTTATCACATCTAGTGTCAAACATTTTATTTGACATTTAATTATAAGGAGGTCTGTGTTTTTCCTATAAAATGTTTGTGTTTTGAATGTGTAATGGGCTCAATTCTGGGATTTTGAGGGCATGTTGCCCCTCTTTTCTCTGACTACTTGTCTTAGTTCATTTTGCTGCATAGAAGCGCATGAACCTTATCAGAAGTCAAGAAGGGCAAATAGCTTAAGTTTCAGATTTATAAATTTTTTTGTTAATTTAAAATTTCAAACAGTATTTTTATAGAAACTTTCAATCCATAAAGTATGTTAGGACTTATTATTCTGTGCTTTTTCAACAAAATAAGAGGTTAGATTCCAAAATTAATGAAAACTAACCATTATGTTGGCTTTGCTGTTGTTGCTAATACTGTTTAAATAAGAAGAAACATCTGGAAAAAATAAGATTTTGGTTTTCATATGCATAGGATCTATGCATTTTATTCTGTTTGTAAACCTAGTGACTATTAAACATGTTCTTTTTCATAAATTATTTTTATGTTGCTAAAAGAGTTACATGTTCCTTTAAGTGTCCAGATGAAAAAAAGGATACCATCCTCTCTATTATGGCAAACTGTTAATAATGCCTTGGATGGTTTTAATATATAGATCCTTCATGATTTGCATCTTATTGTGAAATTTCAATGAAAGGAAAATTCCACTGTTCTGTACTTGAATTTGTTTCCTTTGCTTGTTATAATAACCCTATAAGCTAAAAGAGAAACTTGAGAGTACTGATGGAAAGTCTGTTTGAGAGTACACATGGAAAGTTATGCAACTACACAGAGTATAACTCTATATAGCAGTAACCAAGTGTTGGCATGTATTCTGCCTCCCATTTGGTTAGCCAATTATTCAGTCAGTGCTTGCCATAGCTAACCAAATTAGTTATTGGAAAAATTCACTTGCTGCTAAAAATGTTTGGAGTTTGTTACTAGGTTATGCTCAGAGACCAAATATCCTTTGCTAGCGTCTTCTTTCTCTATAAGTAAAACAATCTCATGGTTTGTGGTTTAAAATGATTACTTATTTATTTACTGTGGTTACATTTCTTAAATTTTGCAGTTCATGACTTATCCTCAGGCTTGTGTGATGTAAGAGGAGCCAAGCTGCTTCTGGTATTATTAAACATAGCATGTACCTTAATACTGGGTAAATAGCCTTTAAGTCATCAGAAACTTTCCTAATCAGTTACTATCCTTGACTACAGCCAGTATATTGTAGTATGTAAGAACTGTTGGCCTCAGCTCCATTCTAGTAAGTAATTTACTCACTGTGACTTTGAAGTTCCTTGTCCAAAATTCAGGATAATGATAGCTTCCATTTAGGTTATTTTTCATGATTGTATAATTGTTCTAAATAAATTATTCCTACTATTAGTCTGTGCTAATCAAAGGAACAGTAAAAATACAAAAAACATACATTAAAAAGAATTAATTTGAATTTAGAAATAATCAAGTCTCTACTGTGCATGGATTTTTGTCTTTTCCTGCTCTTTCCTTTTGACACTCATTGCTGATAACCACTTTCATGCCAGGCACAGTACTGACAGACACAAATGGGACCTGGTCATCACCTTCACTGAAATTATAGCCAAGTGGAAGAACTTACAGTTTGGTTTTAGCATAACAAATACACTTGCATATGCAGTTAAAAATATGAATAAAAAATAAATACTCATTTGGTGGTTCAGTGCAACCAGAATTTATTCAGTATCTTCACAGAGAGGCCAATATCCTATGAACGGATTCATGGATGTTAGGGGGAAAAGCAGATACTATTGATGATTTAGATGAGATGTTTCAGGAACCATCCAAGGGTAAAAAAGTCATGTTTATTATCCTTTGTCCTTTTGGATAGGGAATACCCTTAATTTAAGGATTAAACATGAGTGTGTTAGTAAACATGATTGGTGTTTGTCTTTCCTCATTTGAGTGTGTAGAGAGCTCGTGTGTAAGGGTGTTTTATTGGATCTTGCAGCATTTGAGTTTCATAAGCTAATTAGTAGATTGTGAATAGTTAAAATCATGAGTTATGAAACTGTAAATTCTGATGATTTAGTATATTAAAGTATATAATAATATAAATTCCATTAATAAGTTTGCAAGTTTGTAGAAGTTCATGTGTTTCCCCCTCTCTTTTCTCTCCCCAGAGCATCTGCTACATCCAGGCCTGAACCAGTTCCTGTTCAAAAGGTGTGTTTCTAATCTACTATCACGAGGGCACATTTGATAGTCTCCCCAGAACTACTGTAATTTCCGTTCCTTTCTCAGCCTATACTGACAATTTATAGTTTCAGTATGATTTTCCGCACAGTTCTTTTCCTTTAAAGATGAACGGAAAGTGGAAATCAACACACATAGAATTACCATCTCTCTAATTATACCTGTATTTTAAAAAAAATTTTTCCTGTTCCATATATTATCAGTAACTTATGTCCAAAATGTTTACATTCATTTTTAATTTGCCTGTTTTTATTCACATATTCTAAACATCATAAGTGCTTGCTGAAAATTAATATTACAAGTCTTGAATTACATTTTATTCCTAATGTTAATAAGTTTTAAATTCTATTTTCCAGGTATTCTTGGGTTAGGTTATTGGCAGATGCCCTTTTTCCTCTCATATATATACCCTTAAATTGCCCCAAACCATTTTTCATATACATCTGCTTTATGCTGTTTGGGGNCCCTCAAATTGCCCCAAACCATTTTTCATATACATCTGCTTTATGCTGTTTGGGGTTTTCTCTTTAATTGTACTTGTGCCTTTCTATCAAATTACTTATTTTATTGATTTGCTGAGGTAATAAGCTACTTTTCCTCCCTGAGTTAGCTTTATAATTTTTATAAGATTAATTTTGATTGCCTCTGTTTTCTTAAAATTAGACTTAACAGAGCTGCCATTGTATGCTTTTAAAGACTTTTGATTGCTTTTATTTCAGGATGGTAGGGTGAGTAGGGATTTCTTCTTTAATTTTTTTTTTTTAACTTTATACTTGCTTTGGAACAAGAATTTGTAAGCACAAATTCTGTTAATTTTAGGAGAAGTTGATCTTTATTACTAGTTATTTTTTCTTTGGCTGGTAGCAGTGAAGAAATGTCTAAGGTCATTTTTCGCCCCTCGTGTAACTACTAAATATTTATTTTGGAAAAGAGAAAGAATTTTATTCCTTTTTATTCCCTGAATGGTATCTCAAAACATTTCAGAGAGAGAAACTGATTTATTACAGGACAAGAAAAGGATTGATTTTCATTTGTTCATTTTTATGTTGATTTTAAAAAAGAAATTTCTCGATTCAAAATAATCAGAATGTGCACATTTCTGAGTTAGATGAAAACAATCTTACTCTTTTTAAGTGAAGAGTTAGAAATGTCCTGCTGCTTCTGCATGAATCAAATGATTGTACTCTGGAGAGTAATTAAACATGTTTGAGAGATGGAATTATAATTGAGACTCTGGATATTTTAAGATAAATATTTTGGTTAGCAATGTATTATTTATTGTGAGGAATTTAAAGTTTTTTCCTTTGGAATATGTCTAAGTTGACACTTATGATGGCCTTTAGGCTTTTTGATAGCTTTCCTGCTCCATTTTCTAAATATTTTGAAACTCCTTTCATTTTTATAAAAAAATGTATGCAATGTGTGCATCTGTGTTATGCATGTTGGGAACAGTTAGCATGCATGCTATACTATATCAACTTAATTGTTTTTATCTGGAAACATATAAAGTTTGAGCTGCTAACATGATTGTGTTCGTCTTTTTAAAAACAAGCTGTGTTCTTTTCAGTGAATCCATTTTGCATGTATTTGGTGTGTTCTTGTGTATGTTTATTTTTATTTTACATAGGGAGAACCTAAAGAAGTAGTTAAACCTGTACCCATTACATCTCCTGCTGTATCCAAAGTCACTTCCACAACCAACATGGCCTACAATAAGGCACCACGGCCCTTTGGTTCTGTGTCTTCACCAAAAGTCACATCCATCCCATCACCATCGTCCGCCTTCACCCCAGCCCATGCAACCACCTCATCACATGCTTCCCCTCCAACCATGGCTGCTGTCACTTCTCCCCCATTCGCTGCATCTGGACTGCATGCTAATGCCAATCTTAGTGCTGACCAGCGTTCACCTGCACTGAGCGCTGGTAAACCTGCAGTTAATGTCCCACGGCAGCCCACAGTCACCAGCGTGTGTTCCGAGACTGCTCAGGAGCTAGCAGAGGGACAGAGAAGAGGATCCCAGGGTGACAGTAAACAGCAAAATGGGTAGGTGGCCAAGGGTGCTTTCTGCTCTTATCAAAACTCGTCTTTCAGGCAATTTCCAGGAAACAATCTAAATCCCTCTAAAATCAGCTGTTCTTTGAAGGAAGGGAGATGAAGTTTTATTTGCTTCATTAGCATGTAGCTTTATATTATATACATATAGCACTTTCTGCAAGGCAATTATAGGTTAATCAAAACCTAATTATGCATTTTGACATGTTATGAACCATGTAACATACGCTGTAACTCTTTTTCTCCAAGTCCTGGCACAACACACTGAGCAGCTGGCACTTATAATGCAAGGCAAATCTTGTATCTTTCTTCAATTTTTCCATCCCTTTATTAGCCACCAAAAGTTTAAACAGAGTGGTTGCAGTTGTGTCAGTTTATCAGCTTACATATTGCACCCTAAGGAGAGAGGAAATGAGTTTGTAAGAAGCTTTTTTTCTAGGAATTAGTCTTACGAAGATAGGAAACAAACTTAGTATTGACTCATGTCTATGTATGATGCAATAGCTTAGGTTCAATAGCAAGCAACATTCTTTTCAGGTAAGCTTATGCTAGAATTAAGTCTTTAAAAGCAAACAGTAATGTCAAGGGATGCTTATAAAATACTAGAAGCAAATTAAAGAATATTTTCACTGTAAAGATTTTTCTAAAATGAATGGATTTAAAGCAATGGGCCCTAAATATATAATGTAAGAAGTTTTTGAAAATCTATTTTTTATAGTTTTTACCTTTTGAAGTCTGTTTTCAGCAGCCTTATTTATAGATGGTCATTTTATTCTTTTTTGAATTCAGTGATCATTTTTTAAGCCAGTCATTCTTGTAAACTCATTTTGATCAGATTTATTGTGGCAAAAATTTACTTTAAAAGGAAAACAAAGGGAAATAATCTGCATGCCTGATGGTTTTTACCAGTGCCAGTTCCCAGGAAAATATAATTAAAATAATTGTGTGGATAGGTCTTTTCTGAGATAATCCCTTCCGAATGGTAATTCATGTAATGAAGGGACTGTGCTTTGGGTAGGGTAGCGCTGCCGCCATGGCAACTGTGGGGCTTTGAAAAAGGTGGCAGGGTTCCAGGATGCTGCTGAGAGAAAGAGCTGGAGGGCTGGAGGAACAGCCACCGGGCCCACGGACGGTATGTGGTTGTGGGTGGCTTTTAAAAGTTTTGATGTATATGTTGCAGAAAATCAGTGTCCTTCAATGAGTGTTCATCTTTCATGTGAGGAAGAAAAATAGTATGTAGTGTTGAGGTGTGTTTCGTTGTATTTTTCTTGTATGTTTTAAGACAGTAGATTTTAGAGTAATTGAAGCAGTTATTCTGAAAAGACAGTTGCTGCCTGTCAAATGCTAGCCCCTCAGAAAAATAAAAGCAGAAGTTTACTACGTTTATTAAATTCCATGTTCAGTAGAAAAAAAAGTCCATTGAAGGAAGTATTTGAGCTAAAATCTTTTCTCCTTATTAACACTTCTTGAAATTTTATATGAAAGTCTTAATGGAAAACTGGAGAGGTAAAAGCAAATTGAGGTTGTGGAAAAGTACTAATTTAATGCATGTGAAAATATCAAGCTTAAATTTTGGGTTTTATAAGTATAGCTTAGATGATTCAACTTGAAATGATTTAAAGTGTGTTATTTTCAAACTGAAACTGAAGGCTGTGATATAGGTATAGGAACTTCATGGTGGCTTCTTAATCAGTCATCATGTGATTATTGAGCACATGCCTGGTGGCCAGCACTGGGTGAGATTCAGGAGAAAAGGGATCAATCATTATGTATTTTGCATCGTTAACAAGCATGTTACTGCTTTGCATTTGCAAACTGGGTGTATTTAAAAATAGCTTGATTTCAAATGTTGTCCAGATGTTAGGGCAATGAAAATTTGATTACTCTGAAAACAAAGTGTGGTGTCTAAAATTCTAAAACAAATTTGCAGTGCCCTTTCTCTTACTACATTTAGATTAGAGAAATAAAAAATAAATCACACACTTTACTTGTCAACGGTATGTCATTTTGAAGAGTAGGTGTTTTGTGATTTTGATCAGTGCATTTCCTGCATCAGGTGCCAAACTGTTGTGTGTTTTTTAATCTTTGTCAGACATTTTATTATGTGATTATTAAGTTTTTCATATTTTTATAATGTTACAAAAGATCTGCAACAAAACATTTTTCAAAGTTGAGAGTTGTTACTTTCTATTAATTTCTTTTTATTTAAAAGGTAATATATGCCAGTAACCAAAAATTTAAGACTTCAGAAGGATATAAAGTTCAGTGCATGCTATCTTTTTCCTCAAAGCAAGAGATCTTAGTTTTTAAGTGATTTAAAGTAACTAGTTAATTTGCCAGTTTGATAAACATCCCACCCAAATTTATATAGGATTAGTGAACATAAGACACAAACAAGAGCTTATGAATTATGCATCATTACTGAGAAATAGTTACCCATTCTAATAGTATGAAATCTATGATTATGTTGATAGTTTCAGAATATTTCTTAATAATATGATGTAAGCATTCCTGTTCCTTATAAATAATAATGAACAAGGCACTTGAAGGAAGAAATTTTTAATCTTTCTTTAAAACTTGGCTTGCTACTTTTTTACCACTCTTCATATTCTACTTAGAGCAAAATGGGACTTTATACTCCAGACTGGAAGAGAAACTATTTTGCATCTAGTAGTTTAAGTGATTTAACTTTTCCCTTTCCATGTGCCCTTGCATTATAATGTGCCACTGCTTTCAAGAGGTAAGTCTTTCTTCTGTCCTCTATTAATTTCAATTTTGTTGGACTGCAGTTTTTCCTAACAGTTCCTATATGGTATTTTGAAGAGCCTGGCCTTGGAAGATACAAAATATAATGATATGGTAGTAATATTTTAAAATGCTTTTCTCTTTGCAGAAAACACAAGTGACAAAGTTAGTATCCACATTACTGGAGAGGAAATATGGTGATTTATATATGAGTAAACAGCATGAGTGCCCAATTTTGCAAAATTAAGTTAAATTTTGCAAAACAGCTATAATTTAGAATAACCACATTTAGTCTTTTCATTGAATTTGGTTTGCATTGCTATGTGGTGGTGAATTGCTTTATGGTAATAAATATTGGTTGTTTGACTTTTGTTATAAAATATATGTGGGGCTTGCTGTGTAATGGCTTAAAAGAGGCAGTGCTTTGGGGAATGTAATGTGTATCAGTCTAGCCTGCTAGGAGACAAAAAGTAAAAGTGGAGGAGGGAGCATAAACATGTACTACTAGTGACTGACATATATGATACTGAGTTGATTTCCAAATTCATCTAACAAAACAAGTGTTTTCAGGTAAAGTCTCTAAGAACATTTTTGATTTTTCAAACAATGTGGCTGGAAGGTTTAGACCTCTTTATGTGCAATTGTGTGTTACCGGATGATAAAGCCTATACACCTTTGAAATTAGTTGAGAGATAATTATCGACTTATTAAGTGACACAGGTAGTTGGCACAGACATTGGAAGCCACTGTGGTATAACTTAAAAACCTTGCTATTCTATTTGTTCGTATTAACAGTAAACTGGCTGGTGATTACTAGCTTTAAAAATAGATTAAAATCACCTTAGATGAGAATTTAAAGTAATTTTGTGTTACGACATTTCTGAGCTTGTGGTGGAATTTCATCATCATTACTCTAAGAGATTTGAATTAGAAATATGGAATATCTGTCTCAGACACACTCAAGAGAGTTAACTGTTGACTTACTAGAGCAACTACTACATTCCAGTGTGGCTGTGGTCTCACTAACTGAACAGTTTTATGGTATATACACAAGGAATATTGCACACCAATAAACTGGTGAAAAATCCCCAAAGCCTGATTTATTGTTTGTCTCTTTAAAGTTAAATTCTTATGCACAAAGTTGCTAGTTGACTAGTTGCTAGATTCCAATGAAACAGTTTGACTTGTAAAAGTGTGAAAATGGGCCTTGGAAAAAGAGATTTAAGCATTTAGGTTAAGTATGTATTTAAGATTAAGTTTCAGAGTAATTAATTAATTAGGTATTACTATGCATTGTGCTAGGTGTTCCTAAATGCATTATGCAACTTAATGCTCATTTAAACTGAATGCTGAGAAGTTACTTAATTTTCTCAAATCAAGCAGCTTGTAAGTGTTACAGCTAAGATTGGAGCCTACATTTTTTTTAAATCAAATTTTGGCGTGCCTTCCTCTGTATCATCTGTTTGTGTGAACTGGGCTTATTTCTGTTACTTTGAATTCTTACTTGTTTTTAATGATTATAGACTAGAGGATAAATTGAGTGAATTGAGGCTATATGAGTACACAGTGTGCCTAAACTAGTTGGGCTTGATAGTACTTTTTTGTATTGAGCATTGGAGGGATTTCTCCTAACAACACACCAGTATTTGTATAGTTTCAGGATGCCTTCAAATAAATATGTTAAACATACACCCTTACAGCAAGTCTGAAAGAGGGAGAAGTTGTAATCCATTTCCTTGTTGAGGAAAAGAGGCTTCTTCCTGTAGATTGCAGCTTGCTCAGGGCAGAGGGAGGTGGGCAGCACAGCCGGGGTAAAAAGCCAGGTCATGGCTGTCACATTGGCACAAATGCCACTGTGGTGTATGATGGGCTGTTTCACTTGGGCAAATTTTCTAAAATGCATGAAAGTATTTGGCTTATTCAAATCGGCATCTTTATGTTGAAACCATTCAACCATGCATTTGCTGATCCTCACCACACTGTAGAACATACTCCCCAACTTCATATTGACATAAAGCTATTTCCCAAAACTTTATGTTTAAATATATATCTAAAATCTGTTCTGTTGTGGGGAGTTTATTTTGAAAAGCTGCTTCCCTGCTACTTAAAACAGAAAGCCAGAGGAGGGTATGTTTGGCATTTTGGCTAGCGAATAATAAATATTGGTAAATTATTGAGATCAACGTACTCTGTGTCTCACCCCCATTCAGTGAAACTCAGCCCTCCTTGAGTTTATGAAACTGACTCTGATGTTTGGAAATATAGCCACATTGCACAGTCTTAGTATTAAAACTGGTTGGCAGTTATTCTTACTATGTTTATGATGAATTATTAGTTACTCTGACTAAACCTTTATTGCAGAACAATTGATTCAACAGTGTTTTGAGAAACCAGAGTTTATACTTTATCTCCTCTGTCCTTAATGGAATATGAATATACAGTTGACCCTTGAACAACAAGGGTTTTAACTGCACAGATCCGCTTACGTGCAGAATTTTTCAATAAACATACAGTTGACTCTTTTGAGTTTTGCATCTATCGATTTCAGCCAACTATGGATCAAAAGAAGTATTTTTGATCCATGGTTGGGAACCACAGATGCAGAAGGACGACTGTATGCATTGTTCTACACCATTTTATATAAGGAACTTGAACACCTGTGGATTTGGGTATCGAAGGGACCCCTGGAACCAATCCCTGGAGGATGCCAGGGAACTACAGAGTTTGGGGGAAGTCAAAAGTAATACGTGGATTTTCAACTGCAGGGGGTCAGCACACCTAACCACCATGTTGTTTGTTCAAGGGTTATTAAAGCTTTTTATGATTCTGTACTTAACAGGTTATGTGAGCGAATTAAGTTTTGAGGTTTTCCCTCTTTAGATATTGTTAACCTAGTTCCTTTACTATATTAGACATGCCTTTCTGGGTAAATTAGGTTGCTGATAACACAGAACTATGGAGTTCCTACAAATCAGTTCTAAACTTACTGGGACTTGCTTGTGAATGAGGGTAGTGGTAGTGCTGGGCAGGGGAGAGTATGAAGATTGAATAATAGCCCATTATTTATGACCCCCCTCCCCCTGTGCTTCCTGTATTTTTCATCATAATTACTGCATTTAAAAAATAAGAAAATTTTCAAATAGTGCATCATTCCTGATTCAGGATAATTATGTGTGATTACACTTGCAATTACTATATATTACTTATATTATGTAAGAGCAATTTTTCTCTTATTCTCTCTGATTTTAAAAATGATTCTAAAACAATTAGTTTCTACATCTTACATCTAATAATTATTTTATTCTGTGCTTTTTGTTAGGAACATAGTAGGAGTTTAGATTCATGCTAAAATGAATTTTATAAAAGCCTAGAAATTTTTTGAACAATGGACCTTTCTCTCGGCATTAGTAACTTGAGGCTTCAACTAGCATTGATATATAAAGTATTTTTCAGTGTTTTTGGAAACAAACAAAAACGCAGATAAGACTGTTGTCCAAATAATAATAATGAACAAAATTTTGACTAACATTTGTTCACTTTTGTTTGTGCTGACATGATAATTTTGAAGCATGATTTTTGTGTAACATCTTCATGTAAATTCATTGCTTTGAATTTTGTTATTTCATTTTTGTTCTTTTCTTCTTTTTTTGGCCTCGTCTTTGTCGATTTTACATCATCCTGGGAACATCAATGTCTTCTCTACTCTATCACATTTTTGTGTGTGTGTATTATTTCTCTTTCAGTAACCCTGGCACCGTGTAAGTACCTAATCACTGGTTCCTTCTGTGATTTTCATCATTGTCTCTCTGTTAACTTCCCATTTTGCTTTCAACTTAACACCACCAGCAAATTTTGTTAATATCCTCTCATTGCAAGAATTTTCAAATATGTTAAGGAGCCCAGGAAACATGTTTTCCATGTTAGAGAACTTCATATGAATCAGTGGGTGTGTGTACAGCACCCACACCTCTGCAGTGGAAAAACTTAATAAAGCCAAACCTTAGGGAGATAGAAAAGCATTATACACAGTGTTTATCTGTGTTGGAGATGTAGGTCAGAGTTCAGACCTGCCCTGTTCAGTATTTTTTAAAAATTTGAATAAACCTGCTAATTTTTAATATCTATATTTTGAAATAAATTATTTGCTCTTGCTAGTTAAGTTTATATTCTATCCCAAATACATTTTGAAAAATAAAATCACTGCCCGGCTGGGCATGGCTCAGTGGTTGAGCATCAACCTAGGATCCAGGAGATCGAGGTTTGATTCCTGGTCAGGGCACATGCCTGGGTTGTAGGCTCCATCGCCAGTTGGGGGTGTGCAGGAGGCAGCCGATCAATGACTCTCTCATCATTGATGTTTCTATCTCTCTCTCTCCCTCTCCCTTCCTCTCTCTGAAATCAATAAAGATGTATTTTTTAAAAGTAAAATAAAATAAAATCATTGAGATTATTCTCTTTTTTAATCATAGTCACCAGAGTCTAGAGTTTCAAAGCCAGAAAATACTAAGTAAATGTTCAGGAACTCATGTCATTTAACACAAGACCTTTGCTGTGGTGAATGTCACAGAGTCCAAGGTGTATTACTACTTTTTGCAAGTGAGACTCAGCTAAAATATATTTTTAGCTGGTGTCATTTTATTCTTCTTGGTGTCTCAATCTTACACTGTTGTTTTGTATTTTTATAGACTAAACCTTTTATAGATGATAAAATAGTCTTTTGCCTGAAATTGGCACCATTTAGGTGTAAACTATTACAATCACTAATCATAGAGAAATTTAAAACTGTAAGTTTAATAACTAAAATAAAGTTATTCAAGTAACTGCCTAAGATGAAATATTGTCTGCTTAGGAATTTATATCTGCCCGGTCTGTGGTTACAAAGTAATCTATGCCTTTTTTTTTCTAATTTTAAAAAATGTCTATTTTAAAAAAGTTTAGGCTTTGTTGAATATTAGGTTAAAGTGTTAAAAATAATATACTTGTAAAGTCCCCAATGTTTATGTTTTGTTAAGAGAAAAATGACTGTTCTTAGCAAACTCTTATAGTTTACAAATCCCTTTCACATATATTATTTCATGTAATCCTCAGAGCAATGTGACTTTGTGTGTGATACTCTAGTCTTATAAATGAAAACACTGAGGCCTAGTGAGATCGACTTGTACAAAATCACACATCTGGAAAATCAGAGAGCCAAGATTTATATGTGGGTTTTTTGATAAACCTTTCATTGGTTTCTGATATACTCTTCTTCAGTATGCTGATTCTGCAGTCTGTTAAGGATGAGGGATAGTTGTCTGTACATATGAATGAGAAAACTAGAAAATAACACTTCTGTCCCATTTTAAAACTGTGTTTGGAATTGCTGGTTTAGCCTGTACTCAACCATTCTTGGTTCCCGGGCCTGGTGAAGACGATCATTTAATTCTGTGAAAGCTAATACATTTTAGCAGCATCTTGATATTTAGCAGTGATTGGGAATGTCGTCCCTATCTATGCTTTGTTAGGCATTAGATGAACAATACAAGTACGTAATTTCAAATTGTTTTATTTTAACTTCTATAGACTTTTTAATTTCTTGTTTCCTTCTTTTCTTAATCTTTTCTTTTCCTTTTCATGTTGGAAATCTTTCTTCTGCTGCCTTCTTCTGTCACTTAAAAAGGAAAATCCCACCTAAACGGTAACCTTTCTGTTGAATAGATATTTTATATTACCATAGATGTACCCTTTTTTCCTAATTAAAAAAAAACACATAGCCCTTTTTATTTTAGAAGGGTGCCCTTTTTTAAAGAAATAATCGAAACTATGTATGCTTGCAAAAGCAAAATATATAAAAGGAACACTTGAGGATTAAATGTGTACATTATAAATAATTTGGCAGAGGGTATTTATCCTTAATGTAATCATAAATTTTTCATTCATTTTTTCTTCCTAATCGTAGCCCACCGAGAAAACACATTGTGGAGCGTAATACAGAGTTTTATCACATACCTACTCACAGCGATGCCAGCAAGAAGAGGCTGATCGAGGATACTGAAGACTGGCATCCGAGGACTGGCACGACTCAGTCTCGCTCTTTCCGAATCCTGGCCCAGATCACTGGGACTGAACATCGTAAGTGAATAGCTAGGCACTCAAGTAGATGGATATTCTTTGCCACAGGGAAGTAGCATTTAGACAGACAGTTATTGGAAAACAGTAATTTTCCTGAGACAGCTTGCTTTTGAATCATGCCATACATAATATGGGTATTGTAAATAAGAAACCAAGCCCAGGAGAGTTACATTGAAAAGTGTAGAAGCAGTAGCAGTAATGGTACTGATTGTAGTAAAGAACCAGTGACAAGATGACACGGGATTTTTTTTTAGTGGCTCTGTGCAGCTTGACCATTTGGTGTGGATTGGTACATGTAATTGCTTAAGTTAGCAATTTTCAACCGTTTTTCATCTCATGGCATGCATGAACTAGTTACTAAAATTCTGTGGCACACCAAAAAATATGTTTTTTGCTGATCTGATGAAAAAAATAGGTATAATTTTGATTCATTTACACCAGATGGCTATTGTTATGTTGGCTAATGTCATTTTTTTAATTTGACAGTCTAAGGGGAAAGAGGTCTGTGCCCCTTACTAAATAGTCAGATAGTGCATGTTTTTTAAAAAAAAATTCTTGTAGCACATGGATTGATGATATCTCTGGCTTAAGTGATTTTAGTTTTAAAAGCAAACTAATATTGAATATTGCTTATTATATTTCAGTGAAAGAATCTGAAACTGATAATACAAAGAAGGCAAAGTAAGTTGTCCATTTATTTTGGTAAATTGAATGCTTTTCTTTCGTGAATGGTCTCAGTTTGTTGTTTATGTTTTCAAGTGTAACGGTATGGCATTTTGTCTTTGCAACTAGAGGCTAAGCATTTAACTGTGGTGGCTTTTGTGGAACTTAAATGTACAACTTACAGATTTTATTATTTGTAGATACTATCTGGATTTTATATCTAAGGTTTATTCTCTTTAGTGTTGAAATAAATGGGCAGAAGGGTGTATTTGGGCTGCTTGCTAACACTCTTGTCTCTGAATGAGTTCATGTGATCTTGTAGTCACTTTATTTTGGGCATAAAAATTGACGTTTTCAAGAGGGCTCTATAGATTAATTTTTGTATTTCTAAAAGTGCTCTACCCTTAAAATCTTTTGCTATTAAATAAAACGGCTATGTGAAATTAAGCTTTATAAGGCATGTTTTCTGCATGATGAACGAAGTTTAGAAACTTTTTCTTGCTCTTTCTTATGACTCTTCTATCACTTTTCTTGTTTTCTTTTTTCTTTTTTTCTGTTTCCACAGGGAAAAGATACCCCTTCACGTCTTTAGCCCCAAATACACAAAATTACGTGACTGGCACCATGAAGTTTCAGCACGTGCTCTTAACGTACAGTGATTCATGATCTTTGCCCCCTCAAGCAGCCAGCACATACCTTTTCATTCACTTTTTCTTTTTTCCAATTTCGTAGCAAAATCTGTATTAAATTTGCCTTATGGAAACAATAGAAGCTTTTCTGTACTTTTCTAACCATTTCTGCTGTTGTGAAAATGAGGAGGATGCACATGTATGGTGTTAGTCGGTATCTCACAGACGTTAAACCAAGAGAGTATGTGAAGGGAATAGATCTAGCCAGTGGATTTACATGTTTCCATTGTTATTGGGGTAGTAACCTTGGAAAGGGAATTCTTTGTTTGTAAGCTCAATTGGTTTGGTCGTGTGAAGCAGAGGTGGGTGAGCAAATAATGTCCTTGTCTAATTTGGAAAATAGTTCCTTTATGGTATTACATTTCCCAAGATTACTTTTAAGTTCATTATTACATAATGTTCAGAGTGGTTGTGAATTAAAACTAGAAGACTTTATTAGAATAGATTTCATTATAGACTTAGGTATCTTTTAAAGCAGGTAATATATAGGATGGCTAGATGAAGAAGAGGAAGCCGAGATTTGGCTCCCCAAAAAGGAAAGAAGAGAATTCTGCCCCTATTTGCAATGGGGAAGAATATGCTGTTTGTTTGGTTTGGTTAATTTTTAAAAAAATCATATTTTCTACCAAAGGAAATATTTCTAAGCTGGTGGATATTATTAGGATATAGACAACCTCTAGGCATTAACTAGTAAGACATAGAAAAGATAGCTTTGCTTTGTTTCTAAATCAGAGGAATAAACAAAAATAAACTGCAATATGAATGATTCTTCATGAGACATCAGAGAAACGTTTTATTCAGTGATATACACTATTGTGTGTTGCTGCTATTCTTAGGAAGCTCTGTTTTGAGCAAAACATTCAAGCTAAATATCTGACCAGAAATGCTTTCTGTCTTGTAATATAATGTATTATATATTAGGTCTAAATGCAATACTAAATGCATTTTGAAGTTTGGAAAAGTATTGTAATAAAGTTGCCTTTAACTTAGCTTTGTACCTTGTGTTCTGTTTCCTTGAGGCTGGTAACAATGCCATCTAAGACTTGTTACAATGTTACTTGGGTAAAATAAATAATTATCTTGACATTCATTTGGGAAACCTTTTTAATTCTGTGAGGTTACTAAAAGGTGAGTGTGGAATGTGACAAAGCCCCCTATTTAATCCCCCCCCCCGAACTGTTACATTATTTATCATAACATCTTAAGTAACATATAAGATCAGTTAGACTATGGCACAACCTAGAATTAGCCTTCATGTGAAAATGATTACTGAAGGATCTTACCTGAATTCAAGGTTCTATTTTAATTTTTCCATGTCACTTTAAAGTTACCATTGACTGGGACATCTGCCTGATAATTTGGAGAAACTAACATTAATTTTAGTCAGTGTTTGATTACTATTTAAAATTTGGCCTGCCAAGTACTTTTAAAAATAATTCTAGGATTTATTTATGCTAATTTCTGCTCTACTTCATAAGATATTAAAATGCCTTTTACTGCATCAGTTCTTCAGATACTGCAGTGATTTCATCATCCTGACATCAGTCCCATTTATGACTGTCTCTGGCCTCTACAAGAAACTAGGTATAGGCTTTCCTATACCTAATAGCTCCTTATTGATCACAAAAGATGATGTTTGAAAGAAGATAGAATAAAACTCTCATGAAGATTAATTGTGTGGATAGAGTGAATGTGCTATTTTCCACCAAGAACCAAATTTCTAGAATAACAACAGAAATGAGAGAACTACTAGAAAGAGAGTTTTAGGTAAATAAAGAATTTTTCCCTAATCAAGATAAGAGAATTGAGTATATGACTTTATAACTTGAAATAGGTGTAAATGAAAATAATAATTTAATACCTTGTCTAGCTGAAAAGAAAGTATTTCATGTCACACTGAAAGTATAAACATAGATAAATGGATTGGTCCATATTTGAGTGTTAGGGTAAATGTTTAGCCAGGATCACAAAGGACATTCCATTTGACCCTGCCAGAGGTTGAATTCTTAAACTCAGTTAATCTTCTGGGACATCTTATATTCCTAGCTTAGAAGTGAGCCAAAAATTATAAAAGCGTCTTGGAAAAATATTATTGTAAGTCTAGTGGCCTAATTTATAGCTTGTTTTTGTTTGTCTCTCTTATACAGACTTTCTTTATCATAGGCTTGTTTTTAATGTAAAATTGTAAGTTACCCTTAAGGATTTTCAGCATGTTATCCCTTAAAGTGTTTAACTAGTCAGAAGATGGAATGTCTCCCACACAGTAGTTTTGTTACTTTAAAAAATACGTTATTTGTGGAAACAGAAACATACTCATTTTGTATATCATTATATCCTTCAAAAAGATTCAGATTAAAAATACCTTAGCTTGTTTAAGGAAATTGTGCTATTAAGATAGTAGCAGTCCATTTTTAATTAAAATTTATTCAGAAATGTAGAATGAATTGGTTTCCTCCAGGCAAATGATTTCGCAATTGTTGTGTTTCTGATGTGTATTGAAAATTACATAAATCATAAACACTCATTGCCTGCATTTATTTTTTCACATGAATAATTATTGAATATTTAAATACTAGACACTGATATGTGCAAGGGATTCAGTATTGAATAAAAGATAAATATATGAGCAAGATAATATGAGATAATTGTTATCAAGATAATAAAATATGTTAATATAAAGGAAATGTGGGTTAGGCAGGGTGGGAGTACTTGGATTGTGTGGACCTCTGAGGAGATCACCTTAGTGCCATCACCTGAGAGAGGAAAGAGGGTCAGTCTTGTGATGTCTTGGGTTCCGTGTTTAAGACAGACAACAAGTGTGGAAACCTTGAGGTGGAAAGGAGCTTGGCGAGCACAGAACATAAAAGACAGTGTGTCCAAAAGGCCATATATGAGGGGAAACATGATACAAAAACACAACATTTATGCACATAGGCAACGAACTTGTACCCCCATTACTGACCATGGCATTTCAAATGGGAAGTTATTGTCATATCTAACCACTTTCAGGTAAAATTAGAAAATGAAGAACCAAGCAGATTAACCAATTTGCTAAATAAACTATGTACACTCACCTGGTTAGTGTCAGCCCTGAGCATAGTTACCAACGTAATGCTTTTCTCTCTGAGACCCACTGAAGACCTAAAAAAGCAGGCGTTTAATACAGTGTATGTTGGCAACATACGTGTAGGGAACAGAATGCCCTGTAAGGTGTACACAGAGCCATTCAAAAACAAAAGATTCACGTATAGAAATTTGATATACAATGCTCTATTCATAATTAAGCGATGAATTTGACAATGTAGCATTCTCTTTATAAACTTTCCTAGAATTGTTTGGACCCTTTTCTTTATCCCATTAAAGAATATCCCTTAAACCATGTTAATATTTTCTTGCCCATTGTTTCCAAAATAGACATCCGTATTTTATTTTATATTTTCCTGGTTAGAATGGCAAAAAACAGGGAATGATAAATTCTGGGTTTTGGACTCAGATTTGTAATTGACTGGCCCCTTCCTGCCCCTGAGTTTCCACTTTAAAATACGAAGTCCGAGTCAGTGGTGGATGCTGTGATGCATACCCAGATACTGCTTCAGTAGAGGACTTGATACTGCTGCTGGGTGCATATGGAAGTCAAAAGGAAAGGATATTTGTTGATTTTATCAGAAATATCCTGGAGTAATGAGTAGGTAAAGGTTTAGAAATCAGATGCAGTCAGGGCTGTATGAATGAATCAGTGAACTGAGAAGCTTTAACATAGAACATTAGGATTGACTCTGAGTAAATGTATTAAACACTTGTAAGTGGAAAGCAGCACTTAATAAAATATTATGATTTCATATGTTATAATTTCCCACATGTAGCATTTTAAAAATCAAGTGTATTAGTCATTTAATCAGTCACGTAATAACTTTTATTTGAGCACTTCTGCCGTTGTCTTCACATCCGTAGAGATTTACTTCTGGTTCTCTCCTGGAAGAGATGCTGCTGCTGAGTAGCCTTTGGGAACATGTAGGGAGATAATACAGATATTACAAGGCCAGGAGCTGCTCCTGAGGGACTAAGGATACTAAGTGCAATGCTCTGAATAATTCCACATATAAAAGCATCACACTGCCACACCGAGAACGACGCTGACTGCAAATGATCCCTTCCAAGGTTTCCTGATACCTTCCTAGAACTCCGGCCAAACACTCTCACTCACAGTACACCACCTTCCACAGCAGAAATATCTTGTCACTTCTGAAGTTACATACTGTATTATTTTTACCTCTTTTTTGGCAACACCTTTTCTAATTTGTATTGTAGACACTTGTCTATATGTCCTAA